GGGTCAGGGGAGTTCCAGTTGTAATCACTGGGTCCCAGCCCTCGGTGTACTTAAGTATCACCTGCGGAGAACAATCCCAGCACCCAGGAGGTTGAGGTGGAAATATAGTAAGTTCAAGGGTAGCCTGGCCTACATAACAGACCTGATATGAGAAACTAAAGTAAGAACAATCCCACTCCACCCCACAAAGACCTCAGCACATAGAGCCTGTCTTGGTCTAAGGATGGACCTTGGCAGGGAAATGCCTATCTTTCCTTTGTCCTTCTCACCCCACCCCCTGCCTCTTCTGCTGTGCTCCTGTTGTGAAAGGCAAAGGGAATTTTACCAGGCCTCCAAGTGGCTCTGGTGTGCAGCTACATTGACAGCCACTGGGCTAAGTGACAAAGCAGACAGAAATGCAGCAAAGACCAAGGAATAGCTGAAACTTGTGATTGGCAGGGAATGAGCAGGAGGCTGAGAAGCTGCAGGGTGCATCTGCAGGAAGTGAGGTCACACTACAGAGCTGTGATTCCGGGGGCAGAAAGCACAAGGCATAGGCTGTCCTGGGTGGGAGAGCCATGATGTGCTGGGAGGTGCCGGGCTCTGCAGAGCCACCAAACCTTGCCATGGTGCCTGTCTAGCAGGTGCTCTCAGTCTGTAGCCTGAAACAGGTTCTTGTTCCTCTACTCCAAACACCCTCCCCCAAGTGCACAGTGCTTGAGAATGCCCCAGCAGCCAGCTCTGTGATCCACCTACTTAGAGAACAGTCAGCAGAGTGCGGAGGAACAGGTGAATTGTCCCGTAACAGAGACAGTCAAACCGACTGAAAGTCTAATACCTGGTCGTGGGAAGCTTCCATCCAGCGCACCAGCCTCTGGCTTTGACTACCCAGTATTGCCATTTTCCTGGCATCAGGAAACTGAAGTACAATGGGACATCTGAGAGCTGGTGGGGCACTGCCCCGGTCCAGCTCTCTCCTGTTGAGCTGTGGAGATCATGGAGACCCCATCCTTCAGTTTAGATGATGCACCAGCTCAGTGCCCACCAAGCAATCAAAGGAATCTGTTACTCATTGCTTCAGTTCCTACTGAGTGAACCCAGTTACTATAGCAACCGAATGTGCTTCTTTATTACTGGATGGAAGGCTTTAATTTTGTATTAAAAGAGTTTGGCCAGATAGTCATGTTGCCATGACTCGGGCTGTCGGACCACAGTTAGGATGCCTTGGAATGGCCACAGATCTGTCGGTCTAATTGATGGATCTAGGTCTGGGAAAACCCAGGCTGCACTGCATTGAGAGCGAGAGACAGGGAGGCTCCCCTGGTGCTGGGCTGGAATCTTTCCCTGTTCCCAGATGACTCTATGGGAGGCCTCTCAGCCATGCATGCTCATGGTGGCCTTGCTTGGCTGCTTTGCTCCACCCCCTCCCAATGGACAGCCACACATGCATTATGACCCTGTATGGTCACAGTACAGGAAGGGGGAAGCTGAGGCCCCCTCCGCAGCCACCTCTCTTGCCTCTCAGTGGCCTGCTAGCATGTCCAGAACTTGCTACTGTAGCTCATAAATGTCACAGGCAGACACTAAGAGCAAGAAACACCCCCTCTTCACCCCACTGTCTACAGCATGTGACTCACCTGTTTGCCTTCTATCTGTAGCTGGGGTACCAGAGACTATCTGACTCGCAGCCTTATTCTTGGAGACCTCAGGCCCGGGCAGCTGAGTCTTCTCTTCCTCTTGGGATGAAACAACTCATGGGAAGGAGTGGAGAAGGGCGAAGGCCTAGGGGTGGGGCCCAGACCTTGTGGGAGGTAGAGGCAGTCTGTTGCAGGCGAGAATGGGCAGGGAAGGGAGCTTAGTCCTTCTACCCTTTGGCCAGCCATCTTTTCTCCTTTGTGGATGCTGGATTTTGGTTAAACTCATCTTTCCCCAGTTCCTGCCACAGCTTCAGCCTCTTTTGCTCCCAGCCTGACTGTTTGCTGCCTTTTCAGAACTGGTCATCCAAGACAGGACTCAGGTCATTCTCTTTCAGGATGTACAGGTGGGGATACCTGCCCCCCGAGGCTCTCTGCCCCAGAGTGCCCTGTGCACCAGAGTGCGGGACCTTCGCCCTAGCTCTTCATTAAAGGCCAGCAGAAGTCGTGCTGGAAGGGAACAGCTTCCCAGGCTTCTGAGCAGAATACATGGGGGTGTGTGGCAGCAGGTGGCATCCAGGGATGTACAGGGGGTGTGATGGGCACCTCCAATGTCCTGGCTATAGCCTCAGCCGTAGGCAGGCCCCAGTTGCTTGGGACCTTCAAGGCTCCTCTGCTCAGAGATGGTTGAGCTTGCTGAAAGACAGAAGTACAACTGTCTGAGCAGTCATCAAACATAATGGGACCCCACAGTGGGGCTTCCTTGGGGACAAAGGCTGGGCCTTCCCCACATAATCTCAATGGAGTGTGGGCAAGGTAGGTAGCAGGTATCTAAGAAATGCCTGCTGCAGTGGGTTCTCATGACCGGGCCCCAGGGTTTAAATATTTGAAGAAGGCTGGAACTGGAAAGGAATGGAGACAGAGCCGAGCCCAGTCCTCACTTTATGGGAAGACCAAGATGCTACCCTTTGTAAGGCTAAAAGTAACAGTCATAGCTCATATTAACAATCGCTAATAGTCACCGCTTTGCTCATGGTAGCTAATAGAGTGGTAGGGGTTAGGCAGGGTGTGTTGCACACTGTACATACTACTGCGCATGACACATGCGATGTGCCCGCTGTAGCCTCCTCTGACTTGCTTGCAGTGGATGTCACATTCCTGGACAAGAGAACGAAGGGGAATTGGGGTTCAGGAACTCACCCAAGGTTACCAAACTGCTTAGTCCTAGGCTCAGGAGCCAGGCAATGGATGCTCCATGCATTGCTCGAGTGCTCTGTGGTCGGCAGACACTTGCTGCCTCTTCCAAGTTGGAATCAGAAACCCGGTCACTGGTGAGCTCAGTAACACAGGAAACACTCCTTCTCCATCACACAACCCTCGCTGAAGCTCAGAGATGTGGGGTTTCTGGGGTTTCTGGCTTTGTTACCCTTTTAAACACAGAAGCACTTTTAATCCTTCTTAGCACAAACTGACACATGGAGGCTGGATCCTTCACGCTAGAGGGAGTGTGGCAGTGTATAGCAGAAAGAGACTGACCCAAGGCCTTAGTGCTCTGCTCTTGGGATTGGCGGGAGTTTTGTCCCCACACCAGACATGAACCCCAGAGGGACGCTCAGCAGTTAACCCAGCTCTAACACTCCACTCGAAGTTAGCATTAGATGCCGCTGGCAGTAGATGGAAGCCACTCGTTCGTTTCCTGACTGCCCAGAACCGAAATAATCACACAGAAACTATATTAATTAAAACACTGCTTGGCCTATTAGCTTACGCTTCTTATTAACTAACTCTTACATCTTAAATTAACCCATTTCTATTTTTTTATATTTTATCACGAGCTCATGGTTTACCAGTAAAGTTTTGGGGCATCTGCCTCCTTAGGCAGCTACATGGCATCTCTCTGACTCTGCCTTCTTTTCTCCTCTATCTCTGCTTGAAATTCCCACCTTGCTCAATTCTGCACTGCCATAGGCCCAAAGCAGATTCTTTATTAACCAATGGTAATAAAACACATTCACAGCATGCAGAGGGGAATCCTACATCAATTGACTACTGACCTGGTCCCTCAGCTCTGGCTCCACTCCTAAAGCCCATATTGGGCTGTCTGACTGGCCAGCTGTGAGTCAGGTCCACTGTGACCTGGGCCTTGGATTTGAGTCATCTGCTGGAGCCAGGGAGACATTTGCACAGTTCTTCAGGATGTTTCAGAGAATCCTGTTAGCAGCAAGCTGGAATGGACTCCCAGGCAGGAGTGTGGGAAGGGCACAGAGCTCCTGGGGTTTCTGTGGGTGTGCTGCCCTGCAGGTACCTCCATATGCTCAGCTATCCAGAAGTCTCCAGACCTTGTCCTTGGGTTCTGCAGAGGCTCACTATGTGGCACATTTGATGAAATGTTTTGCCACTAATGCCACCTGGGGAGGGTGAGACTGATAGCCATTTTCTTCCTAGTTCCTACCCCGTGGATGACCAGCACTTCCCAAGCAGTCATGGTCCGGGCATTCAGTCACAACATGGGCATTTAGGAGATTTTGACTGTGCTGGCGGTGTGGCTCAGTGGCAAAAACTTGCCTGGCTTGTGTGAAGACCTGGTCTTAAACCCCAGCACTAAGTAATAGTAGCCAGGTATGATCACTTTTAATCCCAGCATTCAGGAGGCAGAAACAAGTAGATCTCTGTGAGTTCAAGGCCAGCCTACTCCACATAACAAAACTCAGGACTGCCAGAGCTACATAGTAAAACCCTGTCTCAAAACAAAACAAAACATCCTCCTAGTCATTTTTGAAGCTCATTGTGTGTGTGTGTGTGTGGTATTGGATGTGTATGTATGGTGTGTTTGTGTGTGGTGTGTACATATGTGTGTGCGTGCATGGGTAGTGTGTGTGTGTTGCTGGGGATCAAATCCAGCGTCCTGTGCATACTCTGCCAAACCGTGTCCTCTCCTGAGGTTTTAATAACTGCATGCCTCAGCCAAGGTAAAGACCAAATATATTCTTTTTGATTATAAATCTCAATATCTAGCTTGTCATGCTGGCTTATTCTTGTAATCCCAGCACTAGAAAAGTTGAGGCAAGAGGATTTCCATGAGTTTAAGGCTAGTTGGCTACAGGGTGAGACCTTGTCTCAGACAGACAGACAGGCAGACAGACAGACAGGCATGACAGTATCCTAGGAAACAACTTGCAGAGGAGGAATACAAGGAGCAGAGAGTGAGCATATTAGCCAGGACCTTCAGCTGACCACACAGGTCTCGACTCTTGACTGGGACTCTCACCACATGTAGAATTCCAGCCTGCCCCTGAGGTGGTAAGGACAGGGGAACCCCATTAGCCTCTCCTGTGATGCTCCTGCTCACCTGTCCTGGCCACACTAACACACTCTCTGCTCCCCCAGCTCTTTGTGATCGACAATGGTGCAGATGACTGGCGGATAGCCATGACCTACGAGCGTATCCTCTACATCAGCCTGGAGATGCTGGTGTGTGCCATCCACCCCATTCCTGGAGAGTACAAGTTCTTCTGGACCGCACGCCTGGCCTTCTCCTACACCCCTTCTCGGGCAGAGGCGGATGTGGACATCATCCTGTCCATCCCCATGTTCTTGCGCCTGTACCTGATCGCCCGAGTTATGCTGCTGCACAGCAAGCTCTTCACCGACGCCTCCTCCCGAAGCATCGGGGCCCTCAACAAGATCAACTTCAACACCAGGTTCGTCATGAAGACGCTCATGACCATCTGCCCCGGCACGGTGCTGCTGGTGTTCAGCATCTCTCTGTGGATCATCGCCGCCTGGACCGTACGCGTCTGCGAAAGGTATTCCAGGGAGCCTCTGAACATGGTACGGGGAAGGGAGGCGGAGCAGGGAGGCCCAGGTCTGAGGTCTGATGGAGGGGGCGGGAATGTTCTCAGACCCCTCAAAGGAGAAAGAAAATGGGAATGAGAAGGTAGAGCTGGTTTAGAATGTTGACCAATGGAGCCCAGGTGAGAGGGAAACACACAGAACTAACTTCTGTTCCTTCCTTAGAGCAGTGTGTAAAAGCCTTCTGGTTGCGTCTTAGCTCCTATTCTGTATTTATCAATTTTCAAGTTTCTGATTGCTCTCCCCTTGGAGATGAATAGTGCTTGCTGATGTTTAAAATGCTCCTATAAGTCCTGCCGTAATGAAGCCTGTTCATTTTGCTTCAGTATCAGCATCACTGGGGGACTTGTTAGAATCCAGGGCTTTCGCCCCAGAGTTATTGACTCAGCAATGATGTTCTAGAGCCTCTCACCCTGATTCATATGGACTTTAGAGCTGGAGAACTATGTTGTGGTGAAATAGATTTGGCAAAGATTGCAGGGAGCCGGTGATTCAGGAAACCGATGATGGGAGCGAAGGACCTGCGGCCTGAGACCGCGGGCTCTGTGATGAACAGCCAGTTCTCAGAAGAGCCACCCTTGTGGCTCCCATTAGGACCGATAGGACCTTACCTCCCTCCTCCACTCCTCAGCCCAGTTGGGGACACCTGCCTTTTTCAAGCTGACACCGTAGTTCATTCTAATCTTATTTCACATGGAGGGTCCACATGGAGGCAAGGCCTCTGGAGTCTGCCCAAGAAGCTGAAGTTTCCTCATTTTAAAGTAAGAGTCACTTGAAATGAAATAGATAAAGCCATGCTCCAGGGGTAGAGAGCTTCTCTGTGTGGGAAGCCCAGAGAAAATCTGTGCGGCTTACACAGACCCCGGCAGCTGCCCTAATGCATTCAGTGCTTACAGTCTGTTTGTCCTTCTGTGTGCCCGGGTCCGAGCAGATATAAAACAAGACAGAGAATCCAAGTGGAGAGTTAGCTAGAATAGACCTCACACAGGAGCCATGAACTAAGTTTCCCACTGGCTTTGGGGTGTTATCTGTGACTTTCAGATTCCAGATGGAAGCACTGTGCTGCCCGGAACACGGTCCTTAGATTGAGAGGGGCAGCCTCTGAGGACCAAACTGTGACTGTCAGTATTGGAGGCCTCTGAGAGAGTCCCAGACCACAGCAGCTGACTATCTAGAGCCCTACCACAGCTCCGCAGCAGAGCCCTTCTCCCAGCAGGAATCCACACTGAACAGTTCCCGGGAACTTTCCTACACCAGAGAAAGTGGAGCTCTGTCTGTTTCCAATCCCAAACTCCTCAAGGGACTGTTTACTGTTTATTTGAGACAGGGTGGTCCAAGCTGGCCTTGAACTTGTGATCCTTCTGTGCTGTTTCCACATCCCCTCCTCCTGCTTCCTCACACTGGGATGGCAGGTACCCACCATGCTGGCTGCCTTATGGGACTCTCTGCTGAGGAATAGCAGCTACTCCGCCTCCCTGGGCTTTAATAAAGAATAAAGGATAACAATACTGCTTTATAGGATTTATTGCTAGAGTCCAGCAAGGCGACCCTTGCAATGGCAATCAATTAATAACGGGCATTGTAGGATCCCCAAGTAACTCAGGAACTTTGTGGTTGCCTTTTTTTAATAACCAGAATAGACAGACTCCTACCAAATCCCGCTGATACTTACCCTGTTTTCCTTTCTGATCATCAGAAGCCAAGATTTCCAACAGTGGTAATTGAATTTGTATAGCCTTTTGGGACACTTGAGGTTTTCCATGTTTGTCCCTTGTCTGGCATGTATTTCAGATGAACAGTCAGCCTGAACATACCACCAGGTATCCCCAAATGAGCTGCATTGTTTATTGAAACTGTCACAAGTTTAGCAACTTATTTATTTGTTTCTGGAGAATAACCACATTGTGGAAACCCTCGTTTTCAGAAGTCTTTGCATCATAGTTGATATTTAATACCTTCCAAAGCTTCCAGGTCCAGATTGGGTTAGTCTGGTTAGACAAGGTTAGCTTGCATCAAGATGGTTTATTTAGCCCAGGTTAAGCAAGATTAGCCCTTGTTAAACTAGATTAGTCTGTGCTGCTACAGAATCCCCAGCTGCTTTCTATGCAAACATGACTCAAGAGACCCAGCTGCAGATCGGGAAGCAGAGCCAGCCAGACCCTCCCATAGCCTGGCCTTTAAGGACACAGGCTTCGGGATGGGTTAGTGCTGAGCTCAGTGCCCTGGCTCCTGCTGCTCACGCTGCTGCCTCTATAACTCACGTTCCATGCTATCCCAGATTAACCTAACAGCAGACACAAGGAACCCTGACTGTCCTCACGCTGGAGTCGCTGGACTGGCTGCTGGGAAGTAACTGGTTTGCAGTCACAGGGCTCCACAGTGCGCAGCCATAATGCAAGCCTGATTTCCACTCTAAACTTCACATTTATCTTGTCAACCCAAGCTGGATCCTACAAGGCCAGGAAATTGTGCCCCAGACTGTCCTAGCCATGTCCCCAGTCTGAGGTCTAAAGGCCACTGTGGTGACATAAAAATGCCAGGCTTGCTGTTTGGTCTTTTCTGACGTCAGTGCCCTTCACCACTCTGCCATGCTGCTGCCAGGGTTGACTCCATGCTCAATGATGTCTTCATGTGTGTGCATACATGTGTACACATGCATGTATGATGTCTGTGCAACTGTGGATGTGCATGTGTGTGCGCAATGGTATCAGCGTGCACCTGCTCCACCCTGTGCTGATTGGGGCACTCATTGCCTTCACCTGGGATTGTGGCACCTCTCAGGAGAGCTGCCTGATTCGGGGTCACACCCCTTTTCAGAGGTGGCAGGAACCCACTGACTGACAGGGAGTTTGGAGAGCCCTTTGCCTCCTGGAGCCTAACTCTCTAGGGCCATCTAGAGGTTTCTGTTACCATTGCACCACAGCTAGTCTGTGCCATGCTTCCTGTGTTGATCCAGAGAGCAGCCCCACCCACAAATTTCTGTCCCCAAATCTCATGGTCTTTGGCTCTTGCCCAGAATCTGACTTATGGGGCCATGAAAGTATACACAGACCAAGTAATCAGGCAAAACTCCTTGCAATGGTCGGCTAGTCCTTTTCAGAGCTGTAGGTAATACTGTGCTTCCCAAGGTTGATTCCTAAGCATGACTGGCCGAGACACTGAGACAGGGGCTGCACTGCGAGGCTGGAGAGCTGGACCAGGGTAGGAGAGGAATACGGCAAAGATGACCTTGTTCTCTCTCAGCTTGACCTGATGGAGACTCTGTCACCAAGTGACTTGCCATGGGCATTAAGCGCCATGATGGGTTCTAGAACCTTCTCTGGCTCTGCCACCTAGGCCAGGCTTCGCATAGGGTCCAGGTGGCTTCCGTCAACTGTACTCGATCCTAGCTGTATGCACATGCTTTTGAAGTTGCTATGGAAATCCCTCTTCAGCAAGATGCATTTTTGAAATCATGTCTCCTATCTGGGCTTGGTTTTTATGGGACAATAAATATTTCTACATCTCTTGCCAAGGACAGACAGGAGTTAATAATGGCACAGAGGAGCCCTGTGTTGGGAGAGCAACACCTGGTTGCCAGGAGGGCAGTGGCAACATCAGCTTGTTTTCCCGGGACCCCAGAGATGCATGACATCACTGCCTTTGAGTCCTGACAGTGGCAGCACTCAGCATTCTCCAGGATTCTCTTGGCTGCATGCCCACCTCCCACAGGCCTTCCAGGGCCACCCCAGGAACCTCCTCATTAAACACTGTCAAATGCCAAGCAGCAGTAGAAAGGGAACAGAGGAGGCCCCAGGTCCCAGTGCATCAGGCTGGGGAAGTCAGCTTTCCCTGTACACCCTGAGCCATGCTCTGGCTGCCCACGTGTGTGTTTGTCTCCTTGGAAGAAGCAGAAAAGCTTCCATGGCACTGACAAACATGGGCTGCATCTTGCTTTGCAAGTAAACCTTCCCATCTTCTTGAATGCTTGGACCCTTTTGGATTCTCCGGCCTGTTAGCAGGTGTTTGATCTTGACTGTGTAAATTTTATTTCTTTCTTACAGATATTCTAATGAAGAGTTTGTTTCTAGAGATCTGGCCTGCAGGGTCAGAGGGAACCAGGCCGTTACTGGGGTTGGGGTTATAGCTCAGGGAAAACACTTGTCTGGCATGCACGAGGCCTTAAGTTGATCCTCAGAAGTATAGAGGAGGAGAAGAAGGAGGGGCCAAACTATACTCCTGCTCTCTGCTAGTATCTGGGGAAGCTCTGAGGCAGGAGCAGGAGGGAACAGGGGGGCCATGGCAGTGGCTTTGATGTGAAGAAAGCATGTCTACAGGATGACGCATTGCAAATGTAGTTGAAAACATAATCTAAACCTTTAGGTTCCCACAAGTAGGATTTAAAAACAAAGATTTATCTTTATGCTTGGGTGTTTTGCCTGCACGTGTGTCTGTGCAGTGCCCATAGATGCCAGGAGAGAGCATCAAGATCCACTGGAACTGGAGTCCCAGACAGTTGGGAGCTGCCTTGTGGGTGCTGGGAGTCAAACCTGGTCCTCTGGAAGAGCAGCCAGTGTGCTGTAACCACCGAGAGAAACCCCTCTGGCTCCCACAAGTAGGACTTTAAAACCATGCAATAAGGAAAACTAGCATCAGCCATGAGTCTCCCGCACACCCTAAGTTGGTACCTCACCTGTCTGAGGCCTCATGTTTGTGTGACATCCCGGTTCCACACAGGATGAAGCTAAGGCATGAGGAAGTTAGGCGACATGTACTTTCCATACATCAGGTCCCGCTAAGCTAAGACAGAAGAAACAAGGACTTGGGACTGGAAAGTGTAAGGACAGAAAACACAAAACCAGATGACAGAAAACCAAATTTATAATAATCCAAAATTTATAATGATCAACAGTAGTTGCATTTGCCTCCTCAATTAAAAGACAGTGTCCCTTACTTTGATGAGATTTCAAAGCAA